ATCTTGCATCTGAAAAGGGTATTAAGTTGGTTATGCATCTAATTCCCTGACCTATATACTAATAGCTCGGGGTCCTTCTTAGACATCGTATTTGAGGATGCGGGCGAACTTTTTTCTTTGATCCATTAAAAATATATTTCTCATTTTTTCCGAATAAATCATGCTGACTTTTCATCTGTAGCAACTCTCCTATTTCTTCTTCCATCGATGATTTATAGATAGCATCCATCATCTTATTTATTATAACGAATTTTTGTTATAATTTTAATATATGGAGATATTTTGTGACATGCGTTGTCCATAATACAAGTATAATATTACAAAATTTTTCCAAGTTATATCAGATTTTCATATCATGTTAACGAACCACTCACTTCGTTATAAAGTGAGTAGACTGTATATATTTTTCAGAATTGATACGCAGGGTTACATTATATTTTACAATTATTATACGATCAAGTATGATAGTAGTATGATATTCGCAAAAACTTGTATAAAGTTATACCACTGGGATGTGAATTAAATAACTTAAAAGCCAAAAACTACTATTTGGTGATTTAAATTCTTTTTTTTACAACATAACTATCTACTAAACTTTGGGTAGAGTTACGCAACAGTTGGATGACATCATTGCTTATGCTAGGGATATGGCAAAAATGCAATTGAATATTTCACTGCAACTACAATACTTTCTTAGGTAATATATTGTATTAAATTTTAACATTTATATTATTTTTAAAAGATATTTTATTTAATATTTAACATTTTACATTGCTCTGATACACTGGGCCTTTATTAAATTTCAGCACCAAAATCCAATTATTTCCACTTATCAGTATGAAAATTGAAAAGCTCATGGAATTTATGTCTTGGATCAGTTGTATAAAATCTGAAATTACTTAAGTCAGATTAATCTCCGGCCTTAATGAAATGATTATTGAAAGATATGATTTAATGCAAGTGAAATTATGAAAATTTAAATTTAAATAATTTATTATCATAATGGTATGAAATATAATGTATGAGAATTTCTCTATATAAGATACCTGATGCGCGTCACTTATCACATAACATTAAGGTATAAATAACCCTGTAAAAAATCTGATCCGTGTTTTATCTTTCCATGCTTTTTCTGGGAATATATCATTTTCATGGAATTAATAACCTCAAATCATGGAAATTTCATCTCGCTAACACGGATATCCGTGAATGTATCATTTTCACAGAATTTTTACGGAAGACACAGAGAAATAATGTAAATATTCAGATAAAAATTTTTTATAGGGCAAATATTAAATTTTCCAGGAATTTTACAAAATATAATTTCAATAAATTAAATAAGCATAAAATTTTCATTGTGGATTTATGATATATAAGTTTACTTATAGAATATAAGTAATTTCATTGATAAAAAAATGTTTTACTATAGAAGACATTATTGTGCGATACAGGTAACACCTGACGCGTGTCAGTTAGTAAAGACTAAAAATCCACTTACTGTTATGAAATATGAAACCTATTAAAGCTAATTTGAAACTAAATCTTTTAATTTCAACTTGATTCTATTTGGATTTACAAAACAAAACAATACGGAATATCTTTCGTGGCAAGAATTTAAAAGAATTAATATATAAATCTAATTAAACAATTCATAGTTTGAAAGTTAACACAAGAGAAAAAATGTTTTATTGCAAATCTGAGTTAGGAGTACACTATATTTTGCAATATAAGTAAATTGTTGGATTAACTGCGGAGTAATTTGACTTTACTGTTGTAATAACAGGTTTTTCATCATTTATAAAGTCTGCAGTGTATTTTTACCATAAAAATATACTAATATGTTTATTACCTTCATTTACATGGTTTTATAAAAAATTAAATAGATTTATCGCAGTAGTTACATGATCATCATATAATTGTATAAATTACTTTTTTTATCATTCATAGTAAAAAAATGGTTGCAAGATTTGGGCAGAGTTATCTAACGATATAAAAAACTTCTTAGAAATAGGGTCTTTCTGTAATCAATGAATTTAACAGTGGGTCATACAGGACTTAAAATTAGTGCTCTAAAAAAAATCCGATCTGATCTGGATCCGCAGATTTGATCCGAGTCAGATCCGGTTCGGTTTTCAAAATTCTGATCCGTAGAGCAGATCAGATTTAAAAAAAATCTGATCCGATTAATTTCGGATCAGATCAGATCATAACACAAGAAAATCTGATCCGATCTGAACAGATTCGGATCAGATTTTTTTTTAAATAAAAAAAAAAAAAATTTTTTTTTTTTTTTAAAAAACTTTTCCTGGACGAACGGACAAAGCCGGACGACCAAGATTTAAAAGAACGAACTAGGTAAGTTCATTTCTTTTTTTTTGTTTTTTTTACTTGAGGGAACGTAATTAACGGTTCCCTTCTTTTTTAGTAGGAAGTCTGGACGAACGAAGCCTAACGACACGACCAGGATTTAAAAAAAATGAACGAACTATGGTAAGTTCGTTCCTTTTTTTTATTTTTTATTTTTTATTTAAGGGAACGTAATTAAC